AACTAAAATGATAGGTTTTACTAAATCTTTTCCTGTGCAATTATTACTAGCATTGGAGACAAGGATAATAGTTTGTTTGAAAGAGAAAAGAACAGGCTTTGAAGTAAGCCTAAAAGCGTTTAACTAGAAATAGTATTTCGAAAGTTATTAAGCACAAAAGATGAATAGCGTTTATTTTGATCGATACACCCTGTATATATATATATATATATATATATATATATATATATATATATATATATATATATATATATATATATATATATATATATATATATATATATATATATTCTGAATATAGTGCCTTCGAATTAATCGTAAATAAATCCGGACAAAACGGTCACGCTTTTTAAAGTTATGGCAAGAAATTTCAGTTAAAAATGGTCCATGCAGAGCTTTTTAATAAATTTGCTCCCTAATCGAATAGGGTGTCGTGGCTTTTACCACAATTTTCATTTGGGCAGAAATTGAAAAGTAAAAATTCGCACACATAGAAGCTTATAATTTGTCATTTGCCGGGCACTGTGAAGAAATTTTATTTTTAAATAATCAATTTAAGCAAAGCTATAAATTGCGGTTAATGGAGTAATATGTTCTAGAAGACTCTATCTGCCCGAGTGTGTTTTCAGCCTGCCAACGCATCTGCGTCACAACAATTAATCCGTACAAGGTCCAAGTACCTCGGTAGAACAAGGGAACCGTTTTCTAGTCCTGTAAATATTACAAAATATCAGATAAATATCGAAATTTGGCTACTAAGCATGTGAACAACTGGTGCAAACTTGGGATTAACCAATCAGAAATTATCCCGAAGGTTTTTCCTTAACGTGCATACGTACAATGGCCCCCTTTTAGCGCAAGGACTTTCAGTGATTGCAGTTTCGACGTGCACTGCTCATTCGCAAGACTTAGCCAGTGCGTTAACATCTCTGGCAAAATTTTTGGCTAATAATTTAAGGGACCAAACAGTTGGCAAAGAAGTGGAAAATTAAAAAACCCACCCACCTCCCAATAATCATGTACACCAAACTGCGTCTCTACAATATGGCGTGTTGTAAGGACTGTTAATTAGAAAAATGAATATTCATGTATATGATAGCTACGCATGTTAGTCATAAATTTGTAACCCACTTATGTGAAGAAATGCAATAAATAATTATATTACTGGAGGGAAGTGCTGTCCGATGGACAACACTTCACCAAGTGAAGCGCAATCACTGCTCATTCAGGTCGCACTGAAGACCTGAATGAGCAGACCTAGAGACTCGATGTGGTCAGTCAGGTTATCAGTTGCGGCCCGGGGTAATCTGCCCTATACCATAGTTGTTAACCAGTCCAACTAGGTCTCAATGTCGACGGCCTGACGGATCTGAACGGGGGTTCTCCTGTTCCCCTGTTATCTGGAGGTCCGCCTGTTCCTCTAGAACAATCTACCGTTTTTGCATGTATCCTCAGCAAGCTTTGAGTACCCTGGGTAATGTGCCCTATACCAATAGTTGTTCACCAGTCTAACTATAGGTCTCAACTCGCTGAACGACATGCACAGAGTCAAGCATGCCCTCTGCAGTCTAGAGATTCGCCTGTTTCTCTCGATACAACTTGCCCGGAACAGTTTTCGAACACTTCTCTACCCAAAATATATGCCACAAAAATGAATGTGTTTCAAGTTATTGTTGTCTTGCTTAGTTGCCAGTTGTTCGATTTTAACTATCTGTCTCTTTCCAACATATTCAATTTCGTTAATAAGTTTATTTGCGGTATATAGAATACAAAGAAAATTATACTCCACCGACTGCGATAACATTTCAAGTGATCCAATAGTATACTGTTTCTTCCGAGAGTGCGGTAATGTGTGCACTTTTTAGTGCTTAATTGATAATTTCTTAGTATATTAACAGCAAAAATCACGGCACCATATTGAATTATAAAGCTAATTAATTCAAAAAGTGGGAATAATCGTGTCTGTAATTTCTGGTAATTGTCATTTTCAATGGTTCACATATGCGATTTCTATATATTAGTAGGAATATCTATAATTGTATAGATTACATGCATTCGTTCGCGCGCACAAAACTTAGAAGGACTATTTTGTCGAAGTATTAATTAGCGTGACTATTTTCCATTGGCCAAAAGCATGCAAGTACGTCGATCTCAAAGAAAACCAGTAACTTCAAACTAAGTAGCGGCCAACTAGGCAGTACTGTTGCGGAAATCTTTACTTGCAAAAATCGCTTCGAAATGCCCATAAACAAATCAAGTTACGTAAACAATTTTCCCAAACGTATAATTAAGGAAAACGTTTAGTCCAATCAAGTAAAATATATGATGGCATGCGAGTGAATTCGTGGAGGCTAGATTTTTATTCCCTTTTTTTGCGTACTTCGTTTTGTAGTTGTTTGAATAAATCGCTGCAGCATGCCCATACACACAGGTTGGAGGAAAAACAATGTTTAACGGTATAAGTATGGAAAAAAAATAAAAATTTAAAAAATAAATAATTAAAAAAAAATTAAAATTCTGAAATATTTGGCACACATTTTAGTAACCAGATAGGAAATCGTATTTTCGGAACTATATCGACTAATAGAAAAAATCAGAGAAACGTAAAATTTTTCAGATGTTTGAGCAACAATGTTACCTTGTTTGCCACGGCGTTCATGGCTTACCTGGGCCCGTTTCTTTAAAGCCGCTGCATCGTCTTCGACATCCATATTGTTGGATGCACGTGGACTGTTAAGGGAGCCGGAACGAGGGCGATCTCCAGTTGGTGTCCTTGCAGATGGATTTGGACTTCCAGGTTCAGGTGTAATGATAATCGATATTGGACGACGTTGTGCTGTAGGGCTAGCCAGTTTAGGACTTTTGTTATCTAGAAATAGCGTGTAATGATTGACTGGTGGTCGAGATATGTGCGCATATTTATGTAATAGGGAAATAGCAATAACAATTAAGTTTCTCCCATTTGGAAGAGGAATTCAATATATTTCAAAACCTTTCTACAGATTTTCTACATTGTTCTTGATATAAAAGATATCGCACTTCATTTCAAACAAAATCTTTATGCAGTTCCCCCATCTTGGATATGCATATCCATCGTCGGATATGCGTCACATCACAACCAGGGTAACATTGTTTTCATCTCGTGAGAAATTCTCAGGTCATTTTAATGATAAATCCTAATTTTTACTACTGACTACTATTCTAAAATTAAAGCACTATGTATAAACTTTCCCCTGATAATATATAATTTTTATTTTTAAAATGACGACGTTGTTGTCAGTTGTGACATCAATTAATTAGATCTTATTATAACAGAAGATGGCGGATGGATATATAGGTGAGCTAAGTTTGAAATACCTCAAAAACTACGATAGTTTGGGAGAATTTGTAGAAAGGTTTGTAAATATTCTTAACATTCTTTCAAATTAGAAAAACATAATTTTTGTTGCCATTGTCCTTTAAAATGTTAAATTGAGAAATTAAAGACTGAGTACAATTGAAACAGCTAATGGTGGACAGTCTAAAACTGAGAAGTTTGATGATGGACAATGAAAGTTTCAAGTGTTCCTCAGATGAAGCCACATCCATATCAAGAACAGTAATGATTGCATGTGGTGATAAGTCGCATTGATGGATAATATCACCAGTGGCTCTAGTACTGTATGGGCTTTTTCTTACTTTTGCAACTACGAAATTGCATTTCTGCGTTAAAAAGTTCTGTGACTAAATCATTTTGCGCCAAAAGAGCATAGGAAAGGACTGATGTTTAACCCTCAACTCAAAGCAACCAATTACTATTTAATACATTGAATTTAAAATTGCAGTTCTAACTTTTATCGATAATCAGTGTGGTATACAGGGTGTATCAAAAAAAGCGCAATCCTCGACTGAAATGTAAATTGCTAAACAAATAATAGACGAAAACGTTAAAGTTTACATTCATTTTAAAGCATAGCCATTCAGCTTTGTAACAGTGGGTTGTTTCTTAAATTCGACTCATTGGTTCGCGGGTAATAATACTTTACGTTATTGCGATTGGAGATTAAAAAAATTGAGATGGAATAACAAATCGTTCTCATGAAAATAACTGATTTTTTCATTAAAACAAAAAAATGTTGCATTTTATTAAATGGATTGTAACAATAAGTATAATTACCGCTTTTCTTCCACTATTTTTAACTCAGTTTGAAACTTCAAATGCGATATAATTTTGGCTTGGACCATCTAAGCTGACTGACATCAACTTGCTATAATTTCTGTTTACATTACATCGCAATTCGATGACATTCTGGCTCAGACACCAGAATGTTTTGACGATTTTTAGCATTCGTTTAGGATTTTCAAACAACCTGGTCTCTTTTAAAATACTTTTAATTTGTTCTTACGTGGTTTTCCAGATGTAGTGACGACAACATTAAAGTTTAAAGAAGAAAATTCTAACATTTAAACCGACTAAACAATAACATAGTAAACTTGCATAATTAAACAGCAACTAAAAATGATAGGTTTTACTAAATTCTTTTCCTGTGCAATTATTACTAGCATTGGAGACAAGGATAATAGTTTGTTTGAAAGAGAAAAGAACAGGCTTTGAAGTAAGCCTAAAAGCGTTTAACTAGAAATAGTATTTCGAAAGTTATTAAGCAAGATGAATTGCGTTTATTTTGATACACCCTGTATAATGACGGTAATTTTTGCGGCCACATTGAAAGCAATGTGGTTAGGGAGAGAGGAGGCAGGTGCCCGGCCAACCTTGGAATAGTGTTGCCCCATCCCTCCTCTCCCCTCCCTTTGCTTGGGAACATTCTTGCAGTTGAAGGCATGGAAATTTCATTTTCATTTCTTGTAATGTATGTTTTTATCTTGCCAAGTTTCAAGTGTTTCGAGTTGTTCTTTTATTTAAAATCATCAAGACGTAGAAAATGACACTTGAGACCCTAAAATCTAAAATACCAGATCCCACCACACATCCATTGTAACATGTCTTGAATGCATACCCTGCAAGTTTCTAGCAGGTTTATAGTAACGATTAATCAGACAAATTGCAGTGAAATTAATAGCAAGGTATAGACGCTTCGGGTCCACTGGATTTTTTCGGCCCGCTTTGAGTGTAATACCAGGCTACGCCAACAAATGGCGGGAGGTGCCGAGGATCCAGACTGTACCACAAATGAATATTTAAATTATTATATTTGTTAAGGGTTGGGAGAAGAATGAAACGTTTCATGTACATGCTCAACCGAGTCGGGGTATCCAAACGAAACAAACAGTAATTGCAAAATACCTTTAATTAATGTATTTAACCCCAGCACTCATTTGAGTAGCAAGCATGCTTAATTAACTTGCCTTTCTGAAAGGTAGCCATCTTTCGCAAATAAATAATATTACACGCGCTAAATGAGTTTATTATACATTCTAGTCGCTGCATGCGTTTTGGTTAGTTAATAGCTTACCACTATAAATATGCAAATCACGCAACCTACACATAACTCAATTATCTGATGGCACATAACCGAGTTATGTGAAACTGGGTTATGTGTAGGTTGAGTCAGTGGTATATGTAAATGTTTGTAAATGCTCTTTGTGCAGAAAGCATACCTTTTTACATTTTTATCGGAAAATTAGTAGGCAAATGAGTTTTCTATTTCTTTGGGCCGTTATCGTGATAATTTTTGTGCGACAAATCATTGTTTGTCGAAAATACAATATATGTATAATCAAACAGTTATTGAATTCGGTTTTGTGATATATTGTTTTATTTGTTTTAAATACTTTATTGGATAGTGACCAAACGGTAGGAGTGCGAACGGGACTCGAGGTCTCATGCGAGGCACTCCTCGGATTATCAAGGCCTTAGTAATTGCGACTGTAGTGTTAAGATAACAAATATATTGACCTTGATGATTCTGGATATCACAGAAATCTCATCCAATAACAATTTATCATATTGTCCGAAACATTTAAGTATTCATGTAAATACACTATTATTTATTTTAAAAGCATGTTTTTCTGTTTGAAAATTCAGTATAATCGTGGTATGTTTTTATTTAGTTATTTAGATAAATCCAAATTAAATCGTCTCAAGAGATTAATATGTAGCGGTAATGGTTCCATAAAGCCCATTTTCCAATAGGCAAAGTTGTTCGCGCGACAATAAAAAAGTGGGAACCAATCCAACTTTTTCGTGGCGAACTTGCTACATTGCCAAGATTTGTTTTTCGCTTCGCTTTGCGTGAACAAATTCGCCGAGTGAAAAATGGGCTTCATTTTCCTATTTTAACGACGGTTTGGATTATTTTAGTTGAAAAATTGTTGTCAATACTCCATTTTGGCGCAGACGGCATTGCTAATGTTCCGTTCAGAACTCGGAATAGTCAAATCAGGACTACTCGTCAGCCTATCAGATTTTAGACCGGACTAACCATGACACCAGAAAGGAAAAGCACAATAGTGTCAACGTACCTTTCTTTAGATTTAGTAAGGGACTCGTGCCTTCTTTTCTCTTGGATGCCAAAGGGCTTTTTAACTGAGGACTGGTTTGAGTAGTCGGAGGTGCCACTGGCGCTACTTGCTGGACAGGTCGCTTGGTTACCATCTTCTTAAAGCTACAATGTATATATATGATACACATGAAATCCTGTGTGACAAATCTATCTGATGCAGGTAGCAAGGTAAACTACAAGGTAAACTTTTTGTTAGTTTTAGAACTTTAATGAGCAGAATTATCTCTAGAATACTAAATAGCCTAAAAATATTAGTTCCATGCATGGAAATGCGTGGGTAAAGGGTATGTATTACAGTATGGAGTCGAATTCTGCATGGATTGTGCGGATGATGGGAAAGTGGATAGTATAGGTTTTCCGCCGAAGGTATGATGAGGAATGAAAAGATTAAAAGAAAATATGGTATACTGTAAACACGCATTACAGGAGGTGAAGGAAGTATGGCTAGAAAAGAAGGGCATTAAGTTCTTTAGTTGGAAATGTTCACAGAGAACAAAGAGCAGTGGAGATTGAAAAAGAGATTGTTGAACTGTGTAAAATTTGAAAAATAAAAAAATAGTGGTATGTGGACAGAAGAATGAGCCGACCCCTGGGTCAAGCAGTCTTCGACTTGAATTGTGTAAAAGAAGAAGTTCATTCCCTTGCCCTTGTTTACAGATTAATAAACAAAAATTCGACTGGAACATGAAATATCCACATGGGAATGGGAATTAAAAGTGTAATATGGGAATTAAAAGTGTAATAGTACTTAATATTATTTAAAACAAACCTTGCTTCTCTGTTGCTCATCATATCAGTGACTTCACTGATACGTGCCAAAGTCATTCTAACTTGTTCTAACAGTCCTTCGTCTCCTAGTTCCTTCGCTGTCTTTTCCATTCTGTTCAGTTTCCCCAAGTTTACCCCTTGAGGTTTCTTTAAAAATTCGTCAATTTCCTTTAGCGCTTTTTCAGCTCCCTCTGCTGACTGAAACCTGTCCAGTGGCTGTGAGGCCAGGATGTCTACGCCAGCATTGCACCATTTCGTTACCTGGAAAGACATAGCATTACACCAGTGACCTGCTGGGCCTTTTTTAAGAATTTGTCAGTGTGGGAGAGAGTGGGGCATCCACAGAAAGGAACCACACCATACTAAGTGTGGAAAGCTAGGGGAGAGATGGTTGTTGATGACAAAATGTTTGGTGTGGTGTCGTATCGTAGGCGTCTGGGGAGTCTCCACTAGTTTTCCACCCTGGCCTGGGACTGCATTTCCTGCGATTTCTGAAAGAGATTTTTTGAGATACAGAAGTCCAAAAGAAGTCCAGAAAGCACATAATTATACGCTTCATCTGCAACTATCATTTATATTGACACTGAAAGTACTATTTAATACCAAACATAATTTACCTACCTGTTGCAAAGATTCATGGACTTCGATTGATTTATCCAAATTATGTTTTCTTTCATCAAACTTCTTGTTTAAATCGTTATGTATGTCTTGAAGTTCACTACATTTTGCCTCGATAGAATGTGAGTGACAATGGTCATTTTTTATCATTTCTTCTCCTCTTTCGCACAACTCTGTCAGGTTTTCGACTGCATCCTGCAAATTAGGGAAGCAACGAATTAAAATCATTTTGCTTTTACAGTTTGCCGTAATACCTGATTTTTAAATCAAACCAGGCCGCCCAGAGCTGTTTCGGGCCCACAGGCAACACCCCGTTTGGGAGCCCTAAACACCCCCTTTCCCCCAAAAAAGTTGCAAGAACAAGGTAAATTGTAAAAGCAGGTAATAATATTCCGATATACACTGGCATTATAATACAGCTAACTAATAATCTAGTTTCCGTGCATATCTCGAAGCAAATATTAAGTGCATCACAACAAGTCGATCACGCTCTGATTAAAGCATAATTAATCCGGAAAGACGCTCTTATTCCATTGTAGATCGACGGCAATTCTTTACAATTGCTAACTTAAGCGACTGACACAGGTATGCTTATATAAAGATTCTCAGGGCGACACAAATCTGTGGGAATATGCTTTCAAGTACTTTCTCATAAATCTTATTTAACAAGGATATTAATTTTTCTTTCATGTTTGGGGCCCCTTAAGCCTGGGGACGGGGCAAATTGCCCCCTCTGGGTGGCCCACGATTAAAAATGGTTTCCAACCCTATCAAAGTAACCGATCTACTAGTGAAAACTGCGATCCTCGGGAAGGAACGTGAGGCTCTGGGATAATCCGTCTCAGGGAGGAATCTGATTGGCCGTTGAAATGGAATGTGCAGTTCAGTCTTTAGCTTAGATTCCTGGCTTCCGGCAACGGATTATCCCAGAGCCTCACGTTCCTTCCCGAGGATCGCAGGCTCGGGGAACGAGACTGGAGATACTGTGGCTCACGTGCACAATCTCGTCCCAGACCACGCCACACAATTTCGTCCGGTCCTAGATATTTGACGTCGTAGATCTTGACGTAGTTGTTTATTTAGGAGGGCCTCCTAGTCCCAGTTCTCTGCTCAGCAACTGATGTCCTAGCTGATGTCGAAGTAAGATGCTTTTTGTTATTCAACAAGTAATATACTTGTCCAAAAGTACGGATCTATATTGCACATTTTCCACTTTTTAAAAACTGTATTGAGCCACCTTACAAGTCCCTCACATCATGAAAAAGTTCTTAATTCCTACTACTGCTACGGATTACAATGAACTAATTTTCTCGTGAATTTTTTTAAAATGATATACGGCAAGAAATGAAGCGAAGAAGGAACATTTTGAGGAGCCTGGTAAATATCAAATAAGAGATTTGTTTTATATATATTTATATATATTTATGTGATATAGATTTATTTAGGAAGAGATTTATTCCTTGTAACAATTCATAGATTCATCGTGGGCACAGTACCTTTGTTTCTTCTTTGAATGTTTCTGTATCTTTCTTGAGTTTAGCTGCAGACGAAACTGAATCGCCAAGTTCCTTCATGTTTGAAAGCTTGGTATGTGCGACCATGAACAGATTCTTAACCTGTAGTTAGAACATATACAGCATGTAATAAACATATTAATAAACCTTAATTATTATTATCATTTATTTGGAGTAATTTATTACACAGGTTGTGGTTGCCCCATTTACCAGAGACAGCTATTTAGAAGCTTATTATAACAATGTTTAACTTTGATAATTAAGGTCTAACGGAAGTTTCAATGTGGGTATATAGTTAGATGCCTGTTGTCAACCATAAGCTGAAGAAGCCGATTAGTAGCTTTAGCCGACGAGGAATTTACAAACCCTTTAATTGATCGTATAATCATATACTTGAAAAATTATCTTTTCTAAGGAAAGCCTTAATGGCCTCCCCTCTTCACTTACCACTTTATTCGGAAGATAGTGGATGTCTCGAATTAGGTAAATCAAAAAGCTCTGAGAAAACCAGTCCGCGTATAAACTGATTGCTAAAGTGACTTCAAATCTCGACTTCCATGCAATTCGCGGAAACAGCAAAATAAGGTCAACTCTCGTGTATATATACAATAGGACGCTTCATTTATTTTTAACTCGAACGATCTGTGCCAGCGTAGGTAGCTATATAGTATACCAAAAACAACAGAAAATTGAGATGGATACGGAGGATTCAACTACCTGAAAAATACGAGTAAAATGTCTACGTTCGAAACGTCGAAGTTTTAATTACTTGTATTATTTAGGTAGTTGAATCCTTATCCATCTCAATCCTCTGGTGCTTTATTTTAATACTTACATCCACAAACTCTCTTTCGAAGAATGTGAATTGTAGTGACTGAAGAACGCAACTTTGATGTCTCTCCCAGACTTGTTCAAACTTGTCTCTCACTCGAGAAATTATGTCCACCAAGGCTTGAAGATCTTGTACGCTGGTTTGAGATATCGGTAATAAGGAAAATGTATCTTGATCCGTTGAATCAGCACCCTGACAAGAATGAGCAATAAGATAATCAAGTAAATTTGTTTCAATCTGAGAATTCTGGCTAAGATTGTAAAAAATCCCTCTAAGGGACCGGTCATTATTTATGGCGGGGGGTGGCACCGAAGAGAAAAGGGTTGGGTAAACAAAATTTTGAGTGAGTAAAAGGTTGGGTAAATGAAAAAAGAAACAACTCAAAGGTTGGGTAATAAAAATTTATTGTTATTTCCAAAGCATGACTCACTCAAATATTGAAGACTGAAAACGTCAATGTCAACAGTCATACGTCAATACAATATGTGAATCAATCAGAGCATAGACAATCCAGAAGACAGTCCTTGATTGTCTATGCTCTGATTGTCTGGCATGTCTTCTGGATTGTCTATGATCAGAGTCACTATCTTGATCATTTTCCGATTTGTTGGGAGACAAATTAATGGTGTCTCCAAAGAAAGTAGATGTGCAGACAACATGAAACTTTAGACTGGAGAAAAGTCAGTAAATTTCACAAGCCGAACGTTATCAAACTCGTGTCACAGAAGTGGTAAAGGACATGTGTGACAACTGAATGACATCCTTTTGTAACGTTTTTGGCCAGGGGTGGGTATTTATTTTTTAAACGATACTTGAGGTTGGGTAATCAAATTTTTTATTTTTTAATGGTTGGGTCAGCAAAATTTTTGGCACGAAAAACATTTCTCTTCGGTGCCACCCCCCACCATAAATAATGACCGGTCCCTAATGACAAGGGTTTGGCGATATTTCGATATTTTGATTTATCGCGATATTTTCAATCGAAATTATCGTATGGAAGGTAGAAACTTGAGCGACGATATATCGATATTACAATCAGGAAAGGCCAATTCACAACAATTGTGATTTATCCAATCACAAAAGGCCAATCAACTACCCATGCACCCTTAATTGTTGACCGTTCCACACGCAATGGAAATTCTACGCAGTTCCTACCTTCATGCATTTTAGTTGAGTATTCCCAATCATCTGCGCATTATTAATATCATCTCTAACATCAAACCACATCTGGCCATGAACATCTAAAACATGTTCAGTTTCTTGATTATCTGATATAGATAGATCCGTTTTATCAAATATCTGTTTCAACGTCACAAGACGAGAAGCGATGGAACGGCATGTTTCACTAAATCTGTCAATTGCCTAAAAATGAAAATAAGAACTGCATATAGACGCATAACTATCAACAATATGATTTTTAATTCATTAAAGGCTTAGCTATATATACAGACATAAACAATAACGTTTTTTCGCGTGTGCAATGTGGAATGAGGAATCTGACAAAGCTATATATACATATTATTTCTATATTCTTTATCAGTATGATGTTCCTGTTTCGTTTCATTGATAGCATAATGCCTGCAACCGAATTAGATAAACAGAATTCTAAAATTTACAGGATTTAGTGTCAGGCTTTTGTAAATAATTGTTTTGTGAAAGCGATGAAGAAATAAAATAACAGGCTAGCAGTAAATGAGTTAACACTAACACATACTTTGAGGATTGCAAAGCTAATTGACGGAATGGAAACGTCGAACTATTTTATTGCATGGTGGGCCGACTAGTATAGAATACTTATTTAAATGTTCAATCCATCAAATATATTTGCAATCCTTCACATATATTAACTCATTTAAAGTTGAAATATACCAAAGATGGTTTGTTATTATTTTTCATTTTTTTATCACTTTCACCAAAGATAACAAGCGTCTGTATCACTATATAATTCTTTAATCATTTCGAACCTTTTAATTTTAAGAACAACAAGGAATTTAACGTAGCTATGTTGGAAAAATCTCGTAGTCTTCAACTGTTTGTATTGAGGAATATACACAAAAATATTTTGCCTTCGGTAGATCATTCGGTAAAATACATTATTTGTTGTTAGGAACGCCAGACAGCGCTATCCACCAGAAAGAGTTTTTTGCTGACAGGTTGCAACCACGCGGATAGGGTTAAGTTTAATCGAATAATATATAATACCAATCAATGGCCAATTCTAGAAAGCTTGAAGAAAGCACTGTCCAGAGGACAGAGCTATATCCAGCTTTCGTATAAACAGCCTTAGATGAACAACTCACGGTTCTGTGCTGGACCCAATCCTGGTGATCATAATTCAACGTTCCACCAAGGCAAGGTGTCAGCTCAGTTTTATCTACGTAATTGTATAGACTACCGACGTCATTTAAAATCACAACCTGCAAACAAAACATGGATAAGACTTACTATGTCGTGTTAACGTAGAACCGGAAAAATGCTAAACATTTACACTTCCACGTGTCAACAGCGATTAGCAAACCATTATAAACGGCATGCAGAAATGTAGAAGAGTGGAGGACATGGTTACGCAGTCAACTGAAAATTAATGTATTGTTGTTAACTCTTCGCAACACAAAGACACGGATATTAATTTAAGTTTTATTTAGCACAAGTTTTAATACATTTTATTGCATTATTTGGCTGTCAACATAGTCATCCTTCGATTTTCGATCGTATGACTAAAACAAACAACACGTGACCAAAATTAACATAGTTAAATATCAAATAATTAGCATGCATTATGCAGTTCTATTAAAGTGTCAAAACACTCCTCCTCAGTACGGAAAACGTTAACAGCTCAAGGTTTGAGCAACGAAAATTACTGTCTAGGTGCCTGTTTTTTCAGTGTTTTTTAACTATATTGTACTAAGTTTTATTCTGCTCGAGCTCTTGTCGGGTTGCAATTAGGCATAACTTCGCTATGGGTCTTTCGTATAGACTCCCTTCGACGTTCTAATCTTTACTTTACGAACAAGATTATCACCACCAGGAAATACTTCTTCCACCAACGCCAATTCCCACCGAAGGAAGAGGGCTCCACCATATCCTAATTCTCCCGCATATAAGAAATCCATGGAGCTGTGGACTTCCCACCGAGGTTTCAGGCTTTAGGCACCTTTCCAGGTGGGTACCTAGAAGGGCGTTCATAATCTCGACATTCTTTTGCCATTTTAACTTTTCTTCAGGTGGCAATAACTCATTCCACTGATAACCAGCGGCCCATAGATTCTGGAGATCAATTCGAAACCAAATTGTAACTGGCGCCATCAGTCCTAACGGATCCCACAGTTGAGACATCACACCAAGAGCCTTTCGTTTCGTACTATAACTGACATCTGTATACACTGTCTCGCTCTTCAAAGCAATGCGATGACCCAGTAGACTCACCGGATTCTCGTTGCCATCTTGATCAATTTCTGGGCTGTTGCTGTGCCAAGCTTTGATGGCAAACTTGCCTTTGCCCAAAATGGCATCGATACCATCGACCACTTTCTTGACTTTCTCTGGTGATGTCTCCGACCCGCGACGTCAGCAACATAAGTATTATCCTTTAGGATTCTTGCTGTTTCTGGAGATTCGACTTGAGCTCTATCAGCGAGAAGATTAATGGCATTGATGGCAAGGTCTGGAGCTGGCTTATCTCCAAAACTAAGACGTACCCATTGATACACATCAGGCTCTCTGTCAGTTTCTCCGTCTCTCCACAAGAATATCTGATTAAACATCGTCGAGACGTCTCCAGCAAAGGCGACTTCATTCTGTCTCCAGCCAATCAACACATCAAATAAGGAATTCACAAGACATGGTCCTTTTTCAAGAGCATCATCATTGAGGGAAAGTCCGTCCATTTTGGCTGCTGCATCGAAAACTAATCTGCACTTGGTCGTCTTGTCGGGACTTTCCACTTCTCCAATTGGTAGATACCAAGCCGGCTCCTCTTGGTCTACTTCCTCTTGTTTCACCTTATTAATGACCGCTTCGCTGTCGACCAAGGCTTGTATTTCGTTGTTAAACGCCTCCAACTTTCTTTCTTTACCAGCTGCCTTTCTTTCGACACCATTCGTTCGAACGCGACAGACCGGTTGTTAGGTAGATTGGAATATCCTGGTTTCCAAGGCATTCTTACTTCAATTCTTCCATCATCCAAAACTCTAGTAGACTCCCGAACATGTCGAATGAATGCACATTCTCGCATTTCCTTCTCAGAGCATGTACAGTAGCGAGTTGATTTGATTCCTAATTGATCTTGGAAAATCAATTTCTTTATGTCCTGGTCTTTTGTTATGTCGTCAATGGTTTCGACAGCAAAAGTTCTAGGTGTACTATTCTCTTCAAGATTACCAAGGACTGACCATCCAAAGATGTTCTTCTTTGCAATCGGTTCACCAGGGTTACCCGCCAGAACTTTAAAATCACGATGGGCTTCCGGTAGATCTGTTCCCAATAGAATATCCACTGGACCGCCATTTAAATGTAGATCTTCTACAATTCGAACAAGGTGAGGAAATCTGACTACCGCTTTCTTTGAAATAGTTATGGCTGCTTGGCATGGTTGCTTGACTGAATAAGCTCTCACATTGAATACAATATCTTCATCATAACAGGGCGATATCTTTAAATCAAACTCAGCAGAATCTTCAACTCTAATTCCACCGCCTGCAACATACATCTTCATCTTTTTTGTTTCTCCGACCAAACCGAGCTTGTCCGCAAACTCTTTCTGAATGAGACTCTTATTAGAACCACTATCAACCATGGCAAGTCCCTCAATAGAGTTTCCATTGGCACTGTGCACTTTGATATTTTGAGTTGGTACATTTGCAGTTCCTGCATTACCAGCTGAAATAGCACCAACCTGATTGGATTTTCCCGTGCCTGTAGCTCCCTCTTGATCTGGTTTGAACGGTTGTGCATCATGGTTCAGATTGCCATTGTCCATTTGTTTTGGATCTTTATGCAATAAGTAATGATGTGATCTTCCACAAATGTTGATATCACATGCCTTTCGCGAGCACTGTTGGTGTCGGTGTCCAGTTCGCAGACATTTTTTATATCTCTTGGACTGAATCACCACTTCCCACTTTTCCTTTACTTTCATCATCTTAAATCTGGACAATAACCTAAACCATGTTGTTGGGAACAACCCAAACCACAACCAGGGGCACCGTTGTAACCACCGTCCACATTAACTGGATAAATCCCAATTTTTAAAGAGCGTTGATCCGATTGACTACTTGCCATTATTTTTGCCTCTTCTTCTAGGTATTCCAACAAGGTATGCAGGCTTTCAATCTTCTTTGTATCAATCATACTCCATGCGTAAGCTCTTTGATCTTCTACCGTCAATTTCGCCAGAGTATCAGCAAACACATATCTACTTTTGGCTTCGTCAGATGCTCCAACATCCTCCATTCTGAGAATAAACCCACGAACTGTTGCGACCAAATTCCAAATCGACTTTGCATCTTTGACCTTCAAGGGTTTCATTGTTTTGATATTTACTTGCTCAGCGATGGTGGTATCATCTACGTCCCCTGTGGGATACTAGCAGAGATATCTCCCCATTAATTCTGACCTGCAATCACTCGCGAGAGTCACTCTCTGCTTGCAGGATCCAGAAGATCCAATTTGGTAAGTTTCCCAGCGAGGATTGTACGGTCGATCAAATCAAAAGCTTTCCTATATAAAGTCGAAGAGAACGACTCTAACAACACTAGACCCGTTGCCATGTGTATGCTTTGTCCACTCATGTACAATGCTGATCAGTGCTTGAGTCGTTGAAGATTTAGGTACTATTCTAAATTGAGTACGTTTCATCAATCTCTTTAAGAATGGCCGACAGGGCGAACTACTCTAAAACGAAATGCTCTGCAACGTTTGACAGTATTGGTGTGAGAGAGATTGGTCGGAGGTCTTTGTTAAGTTCTTTAACTGGTTTTTCTTTCGCGACGGGAACGTTGTCTGCTCTGTTCCATGATGGTGGCAGGCAGCCTTTCCGGAAGAAACAGTTGATATTATAGGTGGGGTCCGCCAGACAGTTTGCGTTCTCTTTTAACAGCAAAGCTGGCACACCATCTGGGCCTTGAGCTTTGGTGGAATTCAACGAGGATAATTTCTTGTAGACAGCTTCTCTAGAAACTACGACTTCACTAAGATGTAGGCAGGGATGGATCTCCTTCTGAAGTAGTGTAAATTTTCTCATTGGAAGGATAAAACAAACATTTATGACGTTAGCTAGGTCAAGTGGGCTAGAAACGCCGTCAATATTTTGACGAGATCTCATAACATAATCTCCACCATAGCAGGCTGATGTCATGTCGTTCAATTTCTTTACCTCTTTCCACCACTCCTTCAGGTGCGAAACTTTAGCATCATAATATTTAGCACGACAATCTGTCTTTCACGATTTACACATTTCTTAATATACGAAACTCCGAAGGGTCGCCGTCGGCCTGTAATTGGGATCAAGATCAAACAGAAACGTATTCATGCATGAAACATGGAAAATAACCTTCATGTGCGCCTGAAATATGCTGAAACAGACAAGCATAAAAACGAGGTCATGATATTTGAGCAAATGTGCAATAAACAGTAACGTATATTGACTGATGAGGTGCACCAAAACATTGATTGTTTCTGTGGAACACACCATGTTTGTCTATTTCGCAAAACGTTTGGCCCGCGTGGCCGTTTGGCCCGTTTGGCCCGTTTGGCCCGTTTGGCCCGCGTGGCCGGTTCTAGGCAATTAATAATGAGATAGGTGGAGCTTGTAATTTAATTTTAATATAGCTGCGTGAAAGACACGTAGAACAAAACAAGAGAATCATGGTAACTTCCATTAATTATAACAAAAAATAAAAAACTTGGCAGCAGGTCCAAATGATTGTCATAAAATGTTTATCATAAAAATAGACAATGCACGCACGACGTAAAACCCCTGATAAAGCGTGTTGAGCAAAAGACTAGATCTATATACGCTGGTTGCTTTCCAAATATCTCGAGGATAATAGAAAGGATTATATCTATAGAAAGGATTATACTAACCTCAAAGCTATATTCCAAACTTGCTTTAAAATTACTTTCAGAATACTTCTGGAAAAATCCTTGAGGTTTGATTACGTACGCATTTTGAATTGTAGCAGTGAACAAAATCTGCAAGTCGGGAGCAAAACAAATCACTATAGTGTGTGCATGCGTTCGTTCAAACTGCACTGGAAACCATGTTATATAATACATACAATAATATCAAGATACCACCAAGGAAAAATAATTAAAATTCTTACATTCAATCTGTTCAGAACAAGTTTTACGGCAGCCCATTTCTCAGAACGGCGATCTATGATGGCTGTAAATCCTTTCTTTCTTTCCTCAGACCTGTAAATACACCAATGGTTAATTGGTTATTAAACTATAAAGACGATGGCAACTTTTACAAAGTGCATGGTTAGTTACTTTGAGGACAGAATGCTGCGGATTCAGAGAGATACGACTACCTGAAAAATACAAGCACAACGTCGACGTTGGTCACTTAGAAATTAGTCACTAATTTCTCGACGAAGGGTTTTCACTAGATCGAATTGTCGCTAATTTCCCAAAGAAAAGACTTCGCTCGAAACGGCGAAGTTCTGCTTGTATATGTTTTAGGTATAGTTGTATACCCCTACCTACACTGGCAAAACCCGTTCGAGATTAGTCACTTTCAATTCCTTAATCACGATATTTATTATACTGTATAGCTATGCAGTCCATCCGCAAAATGTAACATTTTTATCGTTCCTGAGCGGTCAGAAACCAACAGTGAGGACCGATCAGATAAACCGCTCGCAATGGAAAGCTTAAACTTGGTTCAAGTCCGTCTCAGGAGAAAAGTAGGGAGAGACGGACTTGGGACATTTTCAGAATTTCGAATGTTACTTGCAAAAATTGGCGCGAAAATTTGTTGTTGTTCTCAACTCGCAAGCCACGCCTCCGTAGGAAAATCGGACGGTAAAATTTGGCGCGCTTGCAGGGTATCCGTCTCTATATACTTTTCTCTCATATTTTTGCGCCTTTTTTGACCGCTCGCGTGCATCGCTATTCCAACCCCTTGAGAGACGGACTTAAATCAAGTCTGTGGAAAACTTAAATAGCTCATTTCTCAGTAAAAAACTATATTAAATGACCGTGATAAGTTCTTTTATAAAAAATAACATACTATTTTACTCTCTTATCTACTGCGCTATTTTCAAAATTTACGATAGAAAATCATTTGGTTATTGACTTTATTGACTTTATTGACTTTATTAAAAACGGTACTATTTCACCAGACTAATTATTTACAAAAATATTAATTAGAAATATAGAAGAAGGAAAAAAGAAAAGGTGATCACCATTATCACCCATTACTGATATATCAATGGTTTTAAAATTAATTCAATGGCTGGAAATAAATTTCCAGTAATAGTATACTCGCTTCATTTTGGTTGTAAAACTATAGAAATACTTTTCGATGATTTCTTTGCAGTGGAAAGGTTATTTCAAGCCATTGTCAGTAAATGTTTAAAGATTTTGATGATGAAGAAGTTGAATTGTACAAATTTCAATCCATTAAAATGTTGATACATTTTTGTCAATAATTTTTCTTTGAAACAAAAAGTTTTCGTTAAAGGAAAAGTTATGTGGAGTATAACATACATATATGTACTTCTAGGGAGTTCGCCTGGGCTTGACGCACCGAGAGAGGCTGGAAGTTTCCCGAACTGAACGAGCGAAGCGAGATTTCTTTTTTCTTTGGTTTTCTTCAGCAGGTTAGTTACAAAAAAGTTCTTTAAAGTTTACTATCTAGGTTTATCGGCTTAAATTTGGCTTCTATTGTGCTTGATGCGGACGGTACCGTAAGCGGTGAGCATGCAGCTTATTTATCGCTGAAGATTTCGGCGAAAGGAAGGTTTTTTTCAAAAAACATACTCATGCACCTGCTCGGGAAAAAAAGGAGAGCCGCTTTTAACACAGGTATTGGATCATTATATGGGTGCAATTTCAACAATTAAGTTAAAGCTTTGATTACGCAGCAAAATTCTCGTGAAGTATTCGCAGTCAAGCTGAACTGACTAGAATTGATTTAAATCAAAAGTAAAATGAAAAAGACACGTATTGGTCTAGGCAATTAAAAAACTAAAATATACCTTACCCAAATCTTTGGACTAAGTAATGGAAAATCTTCTCAATGTCTGTGTCATTAATGTCTCCAAATTCATTACATGGTGGAAAGATTATGAGCGGAGAGCCCGTTTTGTCCAAGCCACCTGGAAGAGAAATTAAAAATTTAATAATTAATAAACTGATCTATATATTTATAATGCATGGGCAATGTAGTTTGGCATAACTAAATATTCAATAGATGGCCATGACTATCTATTAAATATACCCACTCCAACAAACGTCCATAAATCCAATTATTTATTTCAAAATAACACCAGAAGTAATTTATTGATCGGACTCGGCCTGCTTCATAAACCATATTGACACAAAATGCCACTCAAATACAATATTGCTTATAAATTTCGATTTTTTTTCAGTAGTAGCCCCGTGCAGGGCCGTCTAATAGCCATGTTTAATGAGTGGAGTCAGTGTGAGTATCGCATTTTCTGACAAAAGGCCTGGGTTTGGTACATGGGGTCACTCCAAGTTAACCACTTAATTAGACTTCGTTTTTGGGCATATCCTTACATTGACAAGAATCTTGTTGGACGACACTTTAATTTAATAAGAATAACATAAATTCTTGTGCTTTAATTATTATATAATATCAATATCTTATTTACATTACAATTGCTGTAAAGAGGTTGGGTTGTTATCCTTACTTGCAGCTGAGAGCTAAGCTGAATTGCGAAGGACACAGTTCAACGTGATCGAGTGGAAGGCTTTCTAGGGGCGCCTCTGGTTGCCACCTTATGACGACTCATGTCTGATCAGGGAGCACAGCTAAGATGGAAGAGTTAGTTTAGTAGGGCTAATCCCAGCTTAGGGGCTATTCCCAACCACCCTGTCAACATTCCCTGTGGGAGGAAACCGGAGTATCAAGAGAAAACCCACGTCTTTCGGCAGAGCGTTGACTGACTCTTTTCACATGGATATCATCAGGGACGCCGGAACGATGTGAAGGCAAGGGGGGGGGCAGATTTTCGTGAAAGGGTACTTTTGACTGATTGACATATACTAAGGGATGTTTGCAAAACATCGGGAGTTGAACTTCCCCTAATCCGTTTTCCATTTATTGGATCATAGGGGTGCGAGGGGGTTCTCCGCCAGGCGATTGTGCTATCTTGAAGCTCGATGACTGCATTTCTTGTGTTTTCTGAAGCAAATTCGTAAAATAATTGCACTAACATTTCCGACAATTCGCTATTTCGCCAAGGCAATCCTTTAAATTGAAAGCAGGGCCGTAGCAACCGGGGGGGCTGGGGGGCTGCAGCCCCCCCAATAATTTGCTAATAATCATTCTTTTTTCAAAATCATGCAAACTTTATCATTTAATCTGTGACAAACTGCAAAGAATGAAGATATTACTCATACTCCAGATCGTTCCTCGCGTAGAAAATTTAGCTGAATTTCTGTCGCGCATTTTCAAGAAAATCCCACAAAATCTGCACATTTTTGATGAACTAATGATTTATTTTGTCTTTTGCGTGTTGGGTCTTGCGAAAGAAAACTCTGAAAATGCCATTTCAGACCATCTAGAGACTCCACATTTTCGAAATTTTCTCAAATGTTCTGCCTTCATTTCCGCGCAACTGCCATTTACGACGAAAATTCCCGCCGCGCATTTATAATACTACAGTCTGGCCCATACTTTCCTGTAAATTTCGACATACTAAAACGCTGTTTTCTGACTATCAGAATTCTGTTAAATCTTCCCCAAAGTCCAGGAAAT